CATCTGGTCATCTACCAACGGATTCGTGGGTTCTTTTAAGTGCACAGGGTTGTGTACTGTACACTAGGGATTGTGACAACACTGAAAGAGTCTGCACACAAAGTTGACTCCAAGGTTTTTGCACCCGGTCACAGGTGGGCTCGAACCCGACACCTCAACCTCGCTGGATCACTAGCCTGGTGCCTTAGCCAGCTCACCCACAGTGCCCCCTTGTTTGACAGAATATTGTGTCAAGTAAACATGGAGGGAGAAAACTTAACTACTTTGCCGAAACCCTTGCTAACTGAATTGCTATGTGTGGTGTATTGTGTATTGTATGGCCAATTGAATTGCTACATGGTTTAGTTTATCATGTATTGTATCGTCAGTTGTATCACTACAAGGGTCTACATATTGCCTATTATTACCTACGAGGGCGAAAATATTGGGGTTCATATTTTTCATACGATGACCTAGGGCAAAATATCACTTTGTCATGGTGACGTGACGTCATGGACAATGCTATGACATCACGTTTCTTCTGTGACGTTGTGTTCTACATGCCGTTATTTTCCACAATTTGACGATTTCGGTAATAAACAGAATATATATTCGTGCCCATATCACACTATGTTTACGACACTCGTGCCTAAATATCGGTATATCTCTTGCTCTCGCTCGGGAAATACCAACATTTAGGTACTCGTGTCGTAAACATCGTATGACATGGGCACTCATATAATATTCTCTATTTGTGTGGTCCAGTGAACCGCTAGTATAATTACTGGCCATGCAGGTAGAAGTGACTGTTGCAGGGGTAGTTGTGAGTTGTGGTGGCGAAGTTGTTGGTTGTGTGCAGGGCATGTACATATGATTTACATACAGCATTTTTTCATGAAAATATTACACCGTAACCAGAGTGACACAAACATTAACTGGAATGACTGCTCAGAAAGTTGAAAACATGTGACTTAGTTTGTGTTTACAACATGGTGCTAACAAAGTACATCTTGTGCTGACAGCAATATCCTTATCATCAATACTTCGTGGGCTTGATTCCTCTATACATCACACAAACAGCAACATTCCATGACTGACATAGCATACACCATGACCTATGGTTTTGTGGCTGTTTGCTCTACATATTGCTCTAATGGCAGACAATGGCAGGATTTCCCAGAAGGTTCAAGGACACTGATGATGATGTCATGGAGCAGCAAAGTGCAGACGAACCTGTGACTTATGAATTATGTATAATAACCACACAGACGGTTCATTTAAAGAAAATTTCTTCTAAATGGAACCATTCCTGAAAAAGTCGTCCAAGTAATGTATAATATTACATAAAGAATTCGTGTTTTAAAATTTCATATTTCATTTTCTATGTTCAAGTGATCACTGACAACCATTACTCAGTATTTGATTTCTTTCAACCATTAACTGCTCAAATCTTTTGTAACATCACATCATAACACTAACATCAACAATAATCAATAAAACATATATATATATATATATATTCGAATCATATTCAAATTATGTACAAACTTAATAAATGCAATAAATATGAATCAGCCACTTTATGGAATAATATATTCAGTATATTTTGCATACAGGTACACCTACACAACATAGTAGTCAACCAGTATTTAAACATCACACGTCTGTATGTGAAGGATTAAAATCAAGCTGAAATTAAACATCAACATACAATGTTTTACTTTTCACAAAAATAAAACAAATTTGTCAAAAATATGACCAACACCATCCCATCTTAAATTGCATCCTAACATATCAAGATGTTAGATTTATGACACAATATGAAATGTTCCCCTTACAATAAAAGTAATATCTCAGAAAAATACCAAAGACACACTCACACCAACCCCACTGGCTGTTCTGGAGCAGGGAGTGCAAACCCAGAGATGCCAACCCTAATTTAGCCCAATTAGTATTTTGGCCACCAACTGATGCAAAAATTAGTATTAACCTTTCCAAAGAATGTTCATATTTAACACAGAATATATAGATATTCTAAGAACTTGTTATTAACATTGTACTCACCTAAATCAGTATTAAGTATCCACATATTGCTTGATACTGAATAAAAAGTGGTTGCAATTTATTGTGTATGGTACATATGCTATTAATAATTTAATTTAATGTATTTTATCAAAAATTAGTATATTTTTACTGCTATCATAGTCTCGTATTTTATGTTGTTTTTTCGTAATGAATACGATAAAATCGTATGGGTTGGCATCTCTGCAAACCATCCCTTTATTCAGACATCTTAACAGAGCCCTCGCCCATATCACTTAGTGACTTGGACGGTATGAGCTACCTTTTAAAAACTATCTACCTGTGCATACCTATCCATACCCCACTACACTTTTAGCAAGCAAGGACTACAATGAAATCAATGTGGGTGAAGATCTTGTAGACCTGTTATTACTCCTGCAAGTTTGCGAAATGACCAATTCCAACTTGTTCATGAGAATCACAGACAAATCCTTACCATTATGCAAATGAATTCCATACAAATAAACAGTGTAACAACTGTAAAAACTTCCATCAGCTTGCCGTCTAGGAACTAATGAACACAATTATCCATAAAGAGAAGTGTAATGATACGTTATGTCTACTGATACACTATATTTGGTGTTGCTAGGATACAGACAACTGGGTATTGACTTGTGAGGGCTGCAGCGACACAAGCCCCTACGTGTACGCAATGTTAAATATACTTAACACACATCGACACCTAATACTTGCTCACTTGGGCTGCAACGATTCGGTTCGATTCATCGAAAATCGAATCTGACACCTTAGTTTTGATTTTTGATAACCATTATCATTATTTTGATTCGATATTTAAATATCTATTTAAATTATTTCCACATAGCCAGAACAAGCAGTTTCGAGCGCTGAAATAAGGCGAAATGTGATTGGTTGACGCCAGGCTAAATATCCAATATGAATTGTTGTTAGAAGACATCGCCAAGTTGACGGTGGATTTCTCGCTAAAAAAGCAGACTCTCAGTCCAAGTAAATTTAGGCTCAGTATTATTCGTTACACTGCTATACTGAATCTAACAAAACCTAGTAGAAGGTCGCATCAGCTAACCTGTGAGCGACCTATGATCGCCCAATCAAACGCGAGACGGCCGAACGGATTTAACCAATCAGACAACAACTACTTGTTAGGGTTCGGGGGACCTACAAAATGTTTTGGGATTTTATCTTCCCTGGTCGCTGACACTGATCTATCAACAAACGAAAATCCGCATAAAACACAAATTTGTGACCTGCAGAAAAACGCTTATGGGTTTCTAATAACATGGCTACTATCTGCTTATATTTTCGCAAGATGACATCCTTGAATATTGACAAAAACGCTATTTTCGGCGACTGTTTACTCATTGCGTGTATCACTCGGATGCGATCGTGCGGAAAATAGAATTCGGAATAGGTAAAGGTTCAAACGGTATGTGCGAATGTTTACTTTCGCGATTTGGTAAGCTGTGTTCTGATTGGTCAGTCCAAAAGGTTAGCTGACGCGACCTTCTACTAGGTTTTGTTAGATTCAGTATAGCAGTGCAACGAATAATACTGAGCCTAAGTTTACTTAGACTGGCAGACCCTAAGTTTACTTAGACTGGCAGACCCTAAGAGTTACATGAAATCTCATGTTTTTACTTGTGGGCAGAATCGAACAGGAAATGATCGAATCGAGGGTCAAGTATCGAAAATCGAATCAAATCGAGGTCCGGGTGAATCAATGCAGCCCTACTGCTCACGTGGATTGTCATAATCCATAACAGCACCAGCGGTGGAGCTTGTAGGTGGGCAAGAGTTGGGTCGATGTAACTCAAAGATGGAAAAGCATTAGCACCATGGAACTTGGTCCATATGTTCATCTAAATGTTTTACTCCCATATGATACTTCTCTGCTTGAATATATGACAACCCAACCGCAAAAGGAAAAGGTTGTTACAGGTGAATATATTTTAAGCTAAGGCCAGACCAATTTTATTTCTTGTTTTACGGATCTGCCGGTCATATTTTTTCAAGAATAAGAAAAAATTAAAACTTAATTTTCCCCACTCAAAAAATAAAATCCTAATGTTTTATTGGTCAAAAATGTAAATTTACAAGAAAAGTTGTTTTAGATTGTGTTTTGCCCCATATAAACTTCATAAATTGCCAAAAGTAAAATACTTTTTTTTATTTTTTTATTTTTACCCTCCTGCCTTTAGGTTTTCTGAGGACAAAAATCCGTAAAACAAGAAACAAAATTGGTATGGCCTAATCTGAGTTGAGACTTTTGAATTCTTGGTACGAGTGAGCAAAGCTCTTGCAGACCAATAAGAGTCTGGAATATTTGTGTTCTGTGTGGGTTTCCATGTTTCTGTAATGAGGTAGTGAAAATATAAAAATGAATTGTGAGGAAGGGAGACAAAACATAACAATATTCAAAACATGTGAAAAAGTCTTACTGTGTGGTCTCTAATACATGCAGCCAGAAAAAAAGCATTCCTGCATCAACATGCCAGAGTTCACAGCCCTGCCCACATACATATTCCAGCATCCATCTTGAACAGGATCACCATAATATCCACCACAAAGCATCACTACGCTCTATATCTCCTGAAACACACTCCCGTAGCAGCACCCAAACTTCAACAGAAACTTACACGATTCCAGCTCTCCCTTCTATCCAAAAGAAACTTGACATTTGAAAAAGTACAATGGTCTGTGATGGAAGCATACCAGGGCAGAGATGCCAACCGATACAATTTTATCGTATTCGTTATGAAAAAACAACACTAAATACGCAACTACAATAGCGGTAAAAATGAATGAATTTTTCAAAGAAGACATTTAATAAAATTATCAAATAGCATACGTACCATACACAATAAATTTCAACCATATTTTATTCAGTATAAAGCTATATGTAGATACTTATTACTGATTTAGGTGAGAATATCTAAATGTTTTTATTGAATATGAAATTCTTTGGAAAAGTTAATACTAATTTTGGCCCCAAAAATACTAATTTTTGCATCTGTTTTGGCCAAAATACTAATTGGGCTCAATTAGGGTTGGCACCTCTGCTAGGGTGTCCATAGATACATAATGTTATTTTAATATTATTCCAACTTAACCATTCAGCTACACTGGCTTTTGACAAGAGCCCTTTAATGTTCATGAATAAGTTCATGTCAGCGTACACAATATACACTGATGTCAATGCTGTTAAAAACAAATCATATTGATAGTAGAGATGACAGCTGGCATTATATCAAAGTGTTACTGTCAACGCTATGCAAGAGGAAACACTTAAGTGCCAGCATCATGTACTGAACGGAATTGGGCAAAACAGCATGTAGCAGATCCTTGAACATCTAAGGACCACAACTCTGTACAGTGACTTAGGTGTCTAAACTGCTATTCACTAGAAGTCATGGAATGGTAATAAGGAATAAATTGTGCCCCCTGAATGTTAAAAAACTTGAGAAAAACTAGAGATACTTATTAGCACTAATCAGAAACAGTTTCCACAATGTAATGGGTATCTAAAGGACTAGCGTTTGGGGATGTTTCTACAGGTTATATACCAAAACTTCCACATCCCAATCCTACCACACATTGTTAAAACAACAACTCCTCATCACCCCTTATCAGGTAATAATTTATTACGAAGTGATTGTTTGTATTCATTACTGATTAATGGGTTAAACCATTACAGACTGAGGTAATCAGTATGCTAAAGTGTGTGCAGTCAACCAGAAATGTTGTTGTTATAAGCTGTGGAAGTTTTGGGATGTGGAAGTTTTGGGAGGATACCTTTCTATGTGTTATCACAATTCAGGCTAGTGAACTTTCAAGGTATATTTCAAAAGACACTTAATATTCACAGGCCTAACAAAGAAAACAAAAACTTATGTTTTCAAAACCATAGAAATGAAATAGACACTCATTGTTTGTTTTAGTGTGCTAAATTAGTCAGTGTTTTAGTGTGCTAAATTAGTCAGTGTTTTAGTATGCTAAATTAGTCAGTGTTTTAGTGTGCTAAATTAGTCAGTGTTTTAGTAAGCTAAATTAGTCAGTGTTTTAGTGTGCTAAATTAGTCAGTGTTTTAGTGTGCTAAATTAGTCAGTGTTTTAGTGTGCTAAATTAGTCAGTGTTTTAGTGTGCTAAATTAGTCAGTGTTTTAGTGTGCTAAATTAGTCAGTGTTTTAGTGTGCTAAATTAGTCAGTGTTTTAGTGTGCTAAATTAGTCAGTGTTTTAGTATGCTAAAAGTCTACACTAAATTAGTCCAGTGTGCTAAATTTGTGTTTTGAAGAAGTCTTAAGTTGGTGTTTTAGTGTTCATTGGTTAGGCTTTCATTCATTGTTAGGTCTGATATTTATGTAAACAGAAGGTAAAATACCAATATATGCATATATTACAACTGGAAACTGATTGTCATTGAATGCAAGGACTAAATGGTTTTTAAACCAGTCAGTCTTGGTTAAAAGATAACTTGAACTGATGATAATTAACTTCTAAAGTCCATAAATACTTTGTAATTATGCACTTGGATAAACTAACAGAATCTGGGTAGTACACTGAATATGTAGTCTGTTATGATAGTGTGAAAATGGCTTCTTATCTTCGATATCCATAACACAAGGTGGAAACAGCTCAGAATCTGTCATCGATGTCGAAGGATCATAACCATCTTAAGCCAGAAAAGCTTGACACCCAAGGAACTCATGCTCAGTGAGTGAGTTTGGTTTCACGCTGCTTTTAGCAATATTCCAGTAATATCACGGCAGGGGACACCAGAAATGAGCTTCACACATTGTACCCATGTGGGGAATCGAACCTGGGTCTTCGGCGTGAGGAGCCAACGCTCGAACACCTTAACCACTAGGCTACCCCACTACCCCCTCATGCTCAGCGAGTTGTGCCACTTAATGCCAGATTCTATTTCAGGACATAAATAATTAAAAATGTTTCTCAGCTCAAATCACTGACATGATCAGATAAATCTTCATTTCCACCTCCAGCTGTTAGATGCTTATTCGAGATGTGATGCTTCAAGTCTTTATTGCAGGTTGATTTGATTTTTACAAGAGCTTCTCGGGTGGATGAAAATTTCTTTCACTGTGGCGAGATCGTCTGAGCTCATTTTGAAAGTACTGTATTGTCTTGTTTATCCCAACCATCATTGGTACCTGTGGATGAGAACAAATTTGTAATCACGAGAGAAACCAAACCAGATCTTTAAAGTCATGGCAAAAAAAAAGACTTTTACTCACTAGACTGTCACAACACACTTGTGGAAATAGAACTGCATGTGCCTATTCCAGCTGACTATACATATACATTATTACACGAGCAAGTGTGTCATACGACTTATACGAAACGAGTGTAACTGCATGTGCCTATTCCAGCTGACTATACATGTAGATTATTACACGAGCAAGTGTGTCATAATTAACTTATACTGTAAACGAAAGTGTAACTGCATGTGCCTATTCCAGCTGACTATACATATAGATTATTACACGAGCAAGTGTGTCATACGACTTATACGAAACGAGTGTAACTGCATGTGCCTATTCCAGCTGACTATACATATACATTATTACACGAGCAAGTGTGTCATACGACTTATACGAAACGAGTGTAACTGCATGTGCCTATTCCAGCTGACTATACATATAGATTATTACACGAGCAAGTGTGTCATACGACTTATAATGGAAGCGAGTGTAACTGCATGTGCCTATTCCAGCTGACTATACATATAGATTATTACGAGCAAGTGTGTCATAATCACGACTTATAATGTAAACGAGTGTAACTGCATGTGCCTATTCCAGCTGACTATACATATAGATTATTACACGAAAGCAAGTGTGTCATACGACTTATCTGAAACGAAAGTGTAACTGCATGTGCCTATTCCAGCTGACTATACATATAGATTATTATTACGAGCAAGTGTGTCATACGACTTATACTTAAACGAGTGTAACTGCATGTGCCTATTCCAGCTGACTATACATATAGATTATTACACGAGCAAGTGTGTCATCACGACTTATCATGTAAAGCGAGTGTAACTGCATGTGCCTATTCCAGCTGACTATACATATAGATTATTACACGAGCAAGTGTGTCATACGACTTATACGAAACGAGTGTAACTGCATGTGCCTATTCCAGCTGACTATACATATAGATTATTACACGAGCAAGTGTGTCATAACGACTTATAATGAAACGAAAGTGTAACTGCATGTGCCTATTCCAGCTGACTATACATATAGATTATTACACAAGCAAGTGTGTCATACGACTTATCTGTAAACGAAAGTGTAACTGCATGTGCCTATTCCAGCTGACTATACATATAGATTATTACACAAGTGTGTCATACGACTTATAATGTAAACGAGTGTAACTGCATGTGCCTATTCCAGCTGACTATACATATAGATTATTACACGAGCAAGTGTGTCATACGACTTATACGAAACGAGTGTAACTGCATGTGCCTATTCCAGCTGACTATACATATAGATTATTACACGAGCAAGTGTGTCATACGACTTATACGAAACGAGTGTAACTGCATGTGCCTATTCCAGCTGACTATACATATACATTATTACACGAGCAAGTGTGTCATACGACTTATACGAAACGAGTGTGACTGCATGTGCCTATTCCAGCTGATTATACATATAGATTATTAAGCGAGCAAGTGTGTCATAACGACTTATAATGAAACGAGTGTGACTGCATGTGCCTATTTCAGCTGATTATACATATAGATTATTACACGAGCAAGTGTGTCATCACGAACTTATCTGAAACGAGTGTGACTGCATGTGCCTATTCCAGCTGACTATACATATAGATTATTACAAGAGCAAGTGTGTCATAACGACTTATCTGAAAGCGAGTGTGACTGCATGTGCCTATTCCAGCTGACTATACATATAGATTATTACGAGCAAGTGTGTCATCATACGACTTATCTAAAGCGAGTGTAACTGCATGTGCCTACTCCAGCTGACTATACATATAGATTATTACACGAGCAAGTGTGTCATACGACTTATACGAAACGAGTGTAACTGCATATGCCTATTCCAGCTGACTATACATATAGATTATTACACGAGCAAGTGTGTCATACGACTTATACGAAACGAGTGTAACTGCATGTGCCTATTCCAGCTGACTATACATATAGATTATTACACGAGCAAGTGTGTCATACGACTTATACGAAACGAGTGTAACTGCATGTGCCTATTCCAGCTGACTATACATGTAGATTATTACAAGAGCAAGTGTGTCAAACGACTTATACGAAACGAGTGTGACTGCATGTGCCTATTCCAGCTGATTATACATATAGATTATTACACGAGCAAGTGTGTCATACGACTTATACGAAACGAGTGTGACTGCATGTGCCTATTCCAGCTGATTATACATGTAGATTATTACACGAGCAAGTGTGTCATACGACTTATACGAAACGAGTGTGACTGCATGTGCCCATTCCAGCTGACTATACATGTAGATTATTACAAGAGCAAGTGTGTCATACGACTTATACGAAACGAGTGTGACTGCATGTGCCTACTCCAGCTGACTATACATATACATTATTACACGAGCAAGTGTGTCATACGACTTATACGAAACGAGTGTAACTGCATGTGCCTACTCCAGCTGACTATACATATAGATTATTACACGAGCAAGTGTGTCATACGACTTATACGAAATGAGTGTGACTGCATGTGCCTACTCCAGCTGACTATACATATAGATTATTACACGAGCAAGTGTGTCATACGACTTATACGAGACGAGTGTGAAATTTTGTATTGCCCGAGCTAGAACGAGGGCAATACATAATTTTGCATGTATTTCGTATAGGTCATATGACACACTTGCTTGAGTGTAATAATTGCTTTATAATCCATTTTATTCAGGTACATTTGATCAGTAAAACACGGTATGCAAGTGTGAAGGCCCTCTTCATTGACGTCATGTTCAATTGTTTAATGACGTCACAGACGATGAAATACAGAAACAATTGTAGCTAGGTAAAAGTGATATGAGCACATATGATATATATAGGACACTGGTTATGTTTCACCATATGGGTAATAATATGATATTATAAACCTGGTCATTTCCAGCAAGTCCACAGCTCATTTCAGGTTCACATTAAACATCGACATTTTTTAAGAGTGAGTGAGTGAGTTTAGTTTTACGCCGCTTATAGCAATATTCCAGTAACATCATGGCAGGGGACACCAGAAATGGGCTTCACACATTGTGCCCATGTGGGGAATCGAACCTGGGTCTTCGGTGTGATGAGCCAACACTTTAACCAGTAGGTGGAAACAGTGGAACGCCTCTTGTTAGGACCCCATGTTCAGGTTGTTCCAGGGTGCATATACAAATTACTTTAGATACATTTATAGAGTTGTTCCAGGGTGCATATACAAATTACTTTAGATACATTTATAGAGTTCTTCCAAGGTGCATATACAGATTACTTACAGAAATGTTAAAAGCTTGTTCCAGGGTGCTTATTTGAGAAGTGAACTTGATGTGGCAAATACATTTATGTATAAGGTTCAATAATATGTAATTTTTCAAGTAAAATTGATATTTTTATACTCATCCTGACTCATGATCTTTTGCTTATTTCCCGTCCCTTTGCGAATGGTAGTGGAACACTTGAATCCCTTGAATTTCCCGAAGCGGACGTAAAAATACACTCACCCACGAGTTACCTCCCTTTTCCCGCGTAAACAGTCATGTGACCAGCCTTATAATAATGATTCTTGAAGTAACTGTTAACAAAACCAAAGAAAAAATCACGCAATCAAAATGAGGATTTTACCACAGGCTGCCAGTTGAGATATTTCCGGGCTCGTGTGATGTCTGGGCGACGCACGCTTTGGATCGTCCTGCATTGCTGGTTTCGTAATAATCTTACTCGTGCTGGATTCTGCAAACATAGTTTGGGGCTGAAATTAGTCTCATAAACACAAACAGTGATAAGTATTGTACATATTCCTAGTTCACTAAATCCACAACCTAATAATACTCACAGCACAAAATGATTACCCTGCTCAACAGATCAGTGTGTAGTTGATTCTAAGCTTCCTGGTTACATGCAACCCAAGTCTGTGAGTGGCCATGTTATCTCATCCTGCTGAACAGGAGGTATGCAACCTGACACACTAAAAAATGTTTTACTAAGGTTTTGAGTGAGTGAGTTAAAATTATAAGTCACATCGGCAGTATTTCAGCCATATTGTGACTATATCAAGTTATATATTTATAATAGCTATAGGTACATTATAAAAGTCTTTCAGCGAAGGACAGTAAACAACTAGTTTATCACAGATGGAAATTTAAAAACTAGTAATTACACTTAAAACATTTTAAACTATACAAGACGATACGATATAAACAGGCTATAGACTGCCAACAACTGAAGGTAGATCACCATACTAGGGACCATGGGGACTTACAGTACATTTGCTTCCTGCATGGACCCAAGCTGGATTTACATCATCCCTTCAGCTATTGGCAATTTGAGATAATCTAGCCATAAATTAAAATAACATATATGCTACGATTAACTAAGGATTTGAAGGCAATGAATGAGAGATCTTCAAATATGTCCACCAATCCAAAAACAATTTCTGCGTACTCCATCTAACTGATCTTCTTGGTTGTTTGCGTGTATTGGTTCACACCACAGTCGCCAATGTTCCATCTATATGACGAGAGCTGTAAACAATCAGGTCCAGATGAGACATACCAGTGATTGATGTTATGAGCAGGCTTTACACTGGCAGGGTATGAGTACATGCAATCAACCATGTCACCTGATCATATCAACCCGTAAAGATCCGGGGTTAGAATTGATCTTCAGTAACCCATGCTTGTCGTAAAAGACGACTAAAGGGATCGGGTGGTCAGACTCGCTGATTTGGTTGACACATGTCATCGTATCCCAATTGTGTAGATCGATGCTCATGCTCTTGATCACTGTATTGTCTGGTCCAGACTCGATTATTTACAGACTGCTGTCACATAGCTGGAATATTTATGAGTGTGGCGTAAAACTAAACTCACTCACTCACCTGATCATATCAGTCACTTCTGGAGAAAGCAAAAGCTGAGAGGACAATTTTGACTAAGAATCCCTTTCTATGTTTGAAAAGTTTCATTGCTACCTATTCAGTGGAAGCATAGTATCGTCAACTCATGGAAGATATACTTACTGACAAGTGACTTGATGATCTTGGCAAAGTCCATGATAGTGTGTTCCTCTGCATTGCCGAGGTTGCAGGGGAGGGAGTAGTTGCTGTTCATGAGAGCAATGAGCCCATCCACGAGATCGGATACATATTGGAAAGACCGAGTCTGGGTACCCTGCCCATACACCTGGCAAAACAAGCAAGACAAGAGGGAGTGATTTACGCTGCCTTCAATGGAATTTCCAACAAGTTGAACCCCAACATCTCAAACGAATGGGACCGCCTCCGTGGTGTAGTGGTTAGAGCATCCGCCCGGAGAGCGGAAGGCAGCGGGTTCGATCCCCGGCCGCGTCATACCAAAAGACGTTACAATGTGGTACTTGTTGGTTCCTGCCTGGCGTTCAGCATTAATGGGTACAACAAGGACTGGTCGGCTCGGAGTCAGTATAATGTGTCTGAGTGGGGTATTCACGCTTCACTGGGGCATGGTATCTCAGTGAGCTAGCACTATAAAATCAGCTTAAGTCTGGGCTAGTACAAGCAGCCACACACACATATACACACGCATGCAAGTCGTCATATGAGTGAAATATTCATAAGTGCAACGTTAAACCCCATTTCACCTCACTTTCACCTCTTTTGGTATGGCCATTTCGGGGATTTTGTTAATTGACCTTCCGTTCTCTATGTTTCGCCTAACCACTACACCGCGGAGGCGGTTTGGGGATCAAGAAAAAATAGAACATTTACAGCAGGGTTCGACACATCCGACCCAACCTTCTAATCGTCAGACAAGAGAAGGCAAACTCACTTTGAGCATGTTTTCCTACTTGTTAGGTTTCCTTCGATATTGTGTTCATCTCAGTATAGCTGAGATGCATTTTGACTTGACTTGTTTTGTTTGTACATGGGTGACTTGACTTGTTTTGTTTGTACATGGTTTTTTTTAATGCCATGTGACAGTGGTATGTAAATAATATGGATGCAACATATACACTATGTGGCGAATATGATGTGTATCACGAATATTGGGTAATGAAAACGATTAATTATTCCCAAATACAATATTGTCGTTAAGTGATTGATGCACAACATGGAACGCCCATGTTGACAGTGTTAATTTGTCACAGCAATAACCAGTTATCTCATGACACTCACATTTGGTATGTAATAGTTATAGTCGACAGTACCATGTGCGGCCTTGGCAAACTAACATGACTTGCGCTATTGCATGACTAGTGCATATTCCATCCTTGCATATCTCACTTTGAAAAAGGACATAAGGGTTCAAGTAAAACACACTCCTTAAAAATATTCGTTAATATTCGGTTCTGGTGACCACGAATAACGAACTGAATTCATGAAGGGCTAAGGTTTGATTCACCGAATATGCGAGTGAATCGCAACAGCCTTAGTAAATAACCAAGTCTGGACCAGAAAATCCAGTGACTGACATCAACAGCATCAATGCAGCGTTTAAAATCCCATCTGTCCGACCGTCCGGAACGGTCTATTTTCATCTCGGACGGTCAAATTTCAAAAGCAGCCTGTCCGGTGGTCTGGTAGATATTTTTACCCCTAAGAGTAAATATTTCACAATATCAGACAGGTTCTCTTGTCGTCCATTTAAGGTGTTTAAGGTATTATGAAAATTATGTTAAACTATTTACGATTGTACAGTTCATGTTACAATAACCAATCACAACACCTGCACTTTCAGTTTACCTAAACTCGGTGCATTGCCTGTTAGTGCTATGTAGTTCATTGTGATGCCTACAAACAGTGAATGGAGCTTGCGCGAGTTGGAAATGGCAGTCACAGTTTATTATTGTTGACAACCAGACGGGCAAGTTTGTATCTGGACTGGTAAGTTTTTAAAGTGACCAGTCCAGCTGTCTGGCTTGGAGTTTTGAGAGTTTTAAACACTGATCAATGTACAGGATGGGAATATAACAACACGCATCAACGAAGTCAGTGAGTCTGTCTATCTGATCTCTTTGTCTTCTGTTACGACAAACATGGATTGCTGAAGACCAGTTTAAACCCAGATCTTCAGGAAATTCATGTGGTAAGGTGTGTTTTGTACATATTGGGGCAACTTACAGTCAAGGATTCATTCTGTAAAGCCTGTAGTATAAAGTTGCTGACCACTCTCCCATCATTCATGTGCTAAGGTGTGTTTTGTACATATTGGGGCAACTTACAGTCAAGGATTCATTCTGTAAAGCCTGTAGTATAAAGTTGCTGACCACTCTCCCATCATTCATGTGCTAAGGTGTGTTTTGTACATATTGGGGCAACTTACAGTCAAGGATTCATTCTGTAAAGCCTGTAGTATAAAGTTGCTGACCACTCTCCCATCATTCATGTGCTAAGGTGTGTTTTGTACATATTGGGGCAACTTACAGTCAAGGATTCATTCTGTAAAGCCTGTAGTATAAAGTTGCTGACCACTCTCCCATCATTCATGTGCTAAGGTGTGTTTTGTACATATTGGGGCAACTTACAGTCAACGATTCATTCTGTAAAGCCTGTAGTATAAAGTTGCTGACCACTCTCCCATCATTCATGTGCTAAGGTGTGTTTTGTACATATTGGGGCAACTTACAGTCAAGGATTCATTCTGTAAAGCCTGTAGTATAAAGTTGCTGACCACTCTCCCATCATTCATGTGCATACGGGGACCAAATGTGTTGAAAATCCGGGCAACTCGCACTTCCACACCATCCTGTAATACAATAGATCATATTTATTAGCCTCAAATACAACAATTGGTTCATGGCATCGACCTTTAGAATATCTTCAAACATGTCCATCATTTCATCAATCAAACTAAACCATTCCTCTGTTCATCCCAATCTGTTATATTCTCAAACTCAAGATCTCTCATGTATATATTCTCTGTTTTATGCATATTTGATTTAAATCATGTAAATATAATTGTAAATGTTGGGAGAGGTCTTCATTAAGTTGGGTAACCTGTGCCCAATCTTTTTCTTCAATGAACTATACTACCCATCAAAGTTTAGACAAGCACACCAACTTGGGGAACCAACTGAAAACCTTATGCAGATGAATTGCACAAGGATGATGCTTCAAATTGCGAAAGGCATGAGCAAATGTCGTGCATGTGAACAGATTCGTTTTGGTGTAAAGTTTTGTTAAGAATTAGCCAATTTTCACAGATTTTAATCATTTACTGAACTCATGACAATAATCTTTTCAATGTTACGAATATGTTTTACAATACACCAGTTCATAACTAAACAGTACCTTTAAACAGTATGGAATATTTTGCAAAAAGCTAGTTTAGAACAGTGGACAAGTAAGTGGCTACATTTACACTAGTGAGTCTAAACTTTTGATGGGTAGTATATGTTAAAATCAATCACCTTTAGAAAACTTCAAATTAACTGCCATATTTACAGAATTAGATCTTGAATGACCAATGTCGAATGATTAATCATCTGCATCAAAATGCCAAAGTGAAGCATCATGGTTGTTCAAAAGTTCGTGTGAATACAATACGTCCATGAATACCTGTTTAGCATAAGCGTAACATGTGGTCTCTGCAACCCTCTTGCCCTCATCATAGCACGCCCTGGGCCCGATGGGGTTCACATGGCCCCAGTAGTCCTCCGTCTGTGGGTGCACCTCGGGGTCTGCAGGCACAAGTAGAGAGTGAGTGGTGGCTTCTGGGCAAGTGTGTGTGTGTGTGTGTGTGTGTGCGTGTGTGTTGTTTGGGTGGACACCGGAGTGAATGGAGTTTAAGCATTTCAGGTAACATTATTACAGGGATTCCTGCGTCCTATACACATAAAAATTGACAATGGACGAAACAAAATTTATTAGCGCGTCCACAGGGATGCAGAAAAAGTCCAAATACTTTTTCAGTGGCATTTAGAAGTTGTACATTGATGTCCAAGATATTTTTATGGATTAAACTTCTTTTTTAATTTCTCTGATGAAGGGACCTGGAATGAAGGGACCGAGAATGTTGTGAGACGTCGTGAATTAAAAAGAAGTTTAATCCATAAAAATATCTTGGACAAATACTTTTTGTCAAAATTCCAATCAGGTAACAATAAGTTATCACTGAGTCTGCTACTAGCCGGGTTATGGTATCATTTGCAATTTAATTATCCTCGAGTCATCTGTTTTCGTTCAACATCTGTTTTCGGTCGGCCGTTTGCGTGTTCATTTCTCACGGTTATTAGCGAGATATTACGTCACCAGACAGGTTTTTTTTAGCAGGAGGTCGACTGCTTCAGCTCTGAGTAACAAAATGCTTCTTGTCAAATTTAGTAAGGTACATGATTGCAAACACATGTAAATGTTACGTTTTAGAACCGAGTTTACTAATGCATAAATTTCCATGTAATCAAAATGCTATATCTAAAATATCGTCAGCTCCACCTTTTCAGTATAAGCGTCGTCTCTGCTTGTTTATGGTATGACGTATCATTATCACATAACATATCACGTAGGCGTTGCCGTTGTAAAATATATATGGAAACTGGATAGGGTCATCTCTTATTACGATTTTCAAAATACTCATTTAATTTTGAAACTGCAATGAATATTTCTAATGCGATGGGCCCAGCTAGTGTACTCATCCTGCATGCTGTCATTGGGTCCACCTCAAGCTGTGCACCCCGTATGTGTAGTGAGATCTTCTGATGAGTTTTGGTGCCCTTGTCAGCGAACCCGGAGAAGTAAGAAAGAAACATGCCTGGACATGTGGCTGTAACTATGCAAAGTCTTATCATGATTAACTTTGTCATGAAATTATTTGACCATAGTTTCTAATAATTAGTATTGGAACTATTACAAATATTATTTTTGGACTGGATGTTTATCAACTTTATATTATAAAAATATCAGCATAGCCACCCGAATACTGCTATTAGATTTCAGTTTTACGGAGAACCAATGAAGTGAACGAAAACAGATGACGTCACTTCCGCATTCACGATCTTTGCGTAGCGAACTCTGAGGCCTGCTGTGCGGGTGAACCGTGGGATTAATCCGTCAGATATTTGAATATCATAAATAAATAACAAACAAACGAGGTAAGTTTGTTTATTATCGATTTATTTATGCACTTTATGTTACGTTGGTCGACAATCCTTACATGACCGAAAACCGAATACACAAGGATACTGTAACAATGTGATGATCATGATACACAATACAATAACAGTAACTGAATTACAACAATATTACAACATAGTATTAATAATAATATTTAAGTGTCTGGGGCCCCTGAAAATTAAGAGTATGAGTCCCAGGGACCCTCAAATATAGGACTCAAGGTAAATCCCTGATTATTTAAACAGTTGCAATATCAGTGGAGAAAAGTGTGAAACGAGCGGTAGAGAGAGTTTGGTCAAATAGTTTTTGAACAGTACATCAGTTATTTCAGGAAGCCCAAACTTACTCATGAGCGTTGCCATTATTACAACATTTGTGGAACAAGACAGATGGGGGTTCATAAGCAGGGTGAATGTGAGACTCAACAGCAGATCCTGGCATGGCTAAGAGATGCAACTCTCCTAATCAGGTCACCAGCTACCATCCCCAATTCATTGTTTACATACCCCATCTGTGTTGTTTTCAATCCCGAATTTCTGTTTAACCAACAGCATTTTAAAGCCAGGGACAAACATGTTTTTATCTCTCTCGAATACACGGAGCATCACTCACCTCCGTACACCTCAGATGTGGATGCAAGAAGAAGCCGGGCTCGCACCCTCTTAGCTAGACCTGGAGAAATAGATGAAAGGGATAACTTCTTAAACTGAAGGGTTCTCTTGTACAAAACCCTAACACTATCTCAGAAAAGAGAAAATGGTAAATGACAGTCACAAGTGCCGTGATCTATTGCAATCACTGGCTTGTCTGGTCTAAGACTCATTTATCTACATGCTTCTGTCACAGAACGTCCAGAATATTGCTGAGAGTGACATGGACCACAGCTCATGATACAAACCACTGGCTTGTCTGGACATAACTCAATTATATAATGTCTAGACATAACTCAATTATATAATGTCTGGACATAACTCAATTATATAATGTCTGGACATAACTCAATTATATAATGTCTGGACATAACTCAATTATATAATGTCTGGACATAACTCAATTATATAATGTCTGGACATAACTCAATTATATAATGTCTGGACATAACTCAATTATATAATGTCTGGACATAACTCAATTATATAATGTCTGGACATAACTCAATTATATAATGTCTGGACATAACTCAATTATATAATGTCTGGACATAACTCAATCATATAATCTCTTAACGCGATCTTCTCAATTTATGCTCTGGGCATAACTCAAATATGTCAGACATAATCAATTATATAATGTCTGGACATTCTCACCACAAATGAAAACCCATAATGTTAAGCCCACTGCTTAAATTTGGGATAACTCAATTATATAACTGACATAACTCAAATTCAATTCTCTGGACATAACTCAATATAAATGGAATGAACTGTATATATAAACAGAATAATTATGAATGTCTGGACATAACCATGAACAATATCATTATAGAACTCAATTATATAAACCTTGACATAACTCATTATATAAGCTTCTTAGTGCTAAGATAGTCGTAAGTTAATGTTAATGTATGGCACTTATTACGACATATCTTTAATGTCTGGAAGAGAGTTTCGAAAATCTAGGCCCTAAACTATATGAATGACACCCCGTCTTTTGATGCGATATTTACATACTTTACTCTGTTCTTTGGGAACGTGTCCTATGATATCATCATATTTTATTGCGACTGCGTATGAGTTATATGCATTAGAGATTGTCTATTTGAGTATAGAGTACCTGACCTCGCTTGGGACTCCAAAATGTTATGTACATGTGAAAAGCTCTAACTGCACTACAAACGTTATATATGCTGAAGTTTGCCATGTGCTTTTGGAAAGGGACGTCACTCTAAACAATAAAATTTGAAATCTGGGAAAAATATCCCATTTTAAGCCCATAGGGTTGTACATAAAGTGTGGGAGCTGAAGTCATCCCTTAGCTCTAAGATCGCTTTCAGACAGGAACAGAGGCCTGTGAGATCCCAGCACATCTTAGTGCTACAGTGATCACAAGCCAATGTTAAAGTGTGGGAGCTGAAGTCACCTTAGCTCTAAGATCGCTTTTCTGGAACAGAGGCCTGTGAGATCCCAGCCATCTTAGTGCTACAGTGATCACAAGCCAATGTTAAAGTGTGGGAGCTGCCAAGTCACCTTAGCTCTAAGATAGCTGCTGACGGAACAGAGGCCTGTGAGATCCCAGCCATCTTAGTGCTACAGTGATCACAAGCCAATGTTAAAGTGTGGGAGCTGAAGTCACCTTAGCTCTAAGATCGCTTTACGGAACAGAGGCCTGTGAGATCCCAGCCATCTTAGTGCTACAGTGATCACAAGCCAATGTTAAAGTGTGGGAGCTGAAGTCACCTTAGCTCTAAGATCGCTTTACGGAACAGAGGCCTGTGAGATCCCAGCCATGTTAGTGCTACAGTGATCACAAGCCAATGTTAAAGTGTGGGAGCTGAAGTCACCTTAGCTCTAAGATCGCCAATGTTTTGGGACTGGAACAGAGGCCTGTGAGAGCCCAGCCATCTTAGTGCTACAGTGATCACAAGCCAATGTTAAAGTGTGGGAGCTGAAGTCACCTTAGCTCTAAGATCGCTTTACGGAACAGAGGCCTGTGAGATCCCAGACATCTTAGTGCTACAGTGATCATAAGCCAATGTTAAAGTGTGGGAGCTGAAGTCACCTTAGCTCTAAGATCGCTTTACGGAACAGAGGCCTGTGAGATCCCAGACATCTTAGTGCTACAGTGATCATAAGCCAATGTTAAAGTGTGGGAGCTGAAGTCACCTTAGCTCTAAGATCGCTTTACGGAACAGAGGCCTGTGAGATCCCAGACATGTTAGTGCTACAGTGATCATAAGCCAATGTTAAAGTGTGGGAGCTGAAGTCACCTTAGCTCTAAGATCGCTTTACGGAACAGAGGCCTGTGAGATCCCAGACATGTTAGTGCTACAGTGATCATAAGCCAATGTTAAAGTGTGGGAGCTGAAGTCACCTTAGCTCTAAGATCGCTCGGCACGGAACAGAGGCCTGTGAGATCCCAGACATGTTAGTGCTACAGTGATCATAAGCCAATGTTAAAGTGTGGGAGCTGAAGTCACCTTAGCTCTAAGATCGCTTTACGGAACAGAGGCCTGTGAGATCCCAGACATGTTAGTGCTACAGTGATCACAAGCCAATGTTAAAGTGTGGGAGCTGAAGTCACCTTAGCTCTAAGATCGCTTTACGGAACAGAGGCCTGTGAGATCCCAGCCATCTTAGTGCTACAGTGATCACAAGCCAATGTTAAAGTGTGGGAGCTGAAGTCACCTTAGCTCTAAGATCGCATTTACGGAACAGAGGCCTGTGAGATCCCAGCCATCTTAGTGCTACAGTGATCACAAGCCAATGATAAAGTGTGGGAGCTGAAGTCACCTTAGCTCTAAGATCGCTTTACGGAACAGAGGCCTGTGAGATCCCAGCCATGTTAGTGCTACAGTGATCACAAGCCAATGATAAAGTGTGGGAGTAGAAGTCACCTTAGCGCTAAGATCGCTTTACGGAACAGAGGCCTGTGAGATCCCAGACATGTTAGTGCTACAGTGATCACAAGCCAATGTTAAAGTGTGGGAGTAGAAGTCACCTTAGCTCTAAGATCGCTTTGATCTCTCGTAAACAAGGGATGCAGGGGGCCTAAACTGCAAAAGAATCCCCAAACAAGTGGACTCAATCCCTCACAACTGACCTTCAATGTACAAAGGGTTGACGATGTCATGGTGAAGTAGTTCAAAGTTTTCGTGTCCCATCCAGTGTTCAACATTCCGCTTTCTGCCAGTGAAAAAGTTGTCAACAACGGTAACTTCATGACCTTGGAGCATCAGCTGGTCAACGAGGTGAGACCCCACAAAGCCAGCGCCGCCTGTGATCTGAAACAAAGATGGCTGAACTTGGCATCTGCTTCTCAATAATGAGCCCTTATTAGCAGTTTAAAGCGTTTTTACAGTTATCGGCTAAACACCTATGAATCACCTGATAATAAATTCACATCATCAAAGTTTCCTCGATTCTTATGTCTGTGCTAACACAGAATAAGTCTTATATGGTCTATGCACTAGTGGTCATGACTAGCAGTGAGATCCAGCAGATTAGTGGTTGTTTCCATCCCTGGGAACTAGCAGACTAGTGGTCATGACTAGCACTATCCCTGGGAACTAGCAGACTAGTGGTCATGACTAGCAGTGAGATCCAGCAGATTACCTGTCGTTTCTATCCCAGGGAACTAGCAGACTAGTGGTCATGACTAGCAGTGAGATCCAGCAGATTACCTGTTGTTTCTATACCTGGGAACTAGCAGACTAGTGGTCATGACTAGCAGTGAGATCCAGCAGATTAGCGGTCGTTTCTATCCCTGGGAACTAGCAGACTAGTGGTTGTTTCTATCCCTGGGAACTAGCAGACTAGTGGTCATGACTAGCAGTGAGATCCAGCAGATTACCTGTCGTTTCTATACCTGGGAACTAGCAGACTAGTGGTCATGACTAGCAGTGAGATCCAGCAGATTACCTGTTGTTTCTATACCTGGGAACTAGCAGACTAGTGGTCATGACTAGCAGTGAGATCCAGCAGATTACCGGTTGTTTCTATCCCTGGGAACTAGCAGACTAGTGGTCATGACTAGAAGTGAGATCCAGCAGATTACCGGTTGTTTCTATCCCTGGAACTAGCAGACTAGTGGTCGTGAATATCCCTGGGAACTAGCAGACTAGTGGTCATGACTAGCAGTGAGATCCAGCAGATTACCGGTTGTTTCTATCCCTGGGAACTAGCAGACTAGTGGTCATGACTATCCCTGGGAACTAGCAGACGAGTGAGGAAAGGCAACATAATTTGGGCAGTACATTTTAAGTTTTTCCTTCAAGGGAAATCTGAATGCTTGAACTTTTGCTATTTTCTGTAGGATTACAGATTCTGCATTACAATGAAGGGTATGACAGTACCATAGTGACATGTGGTACAGTGCTCAGCCTCCTCAACTTGCTTACTCTTCAGTGAGCATGCCCACTTCATGCTGTGCATCACTCTTTCCATGCCAGCCATGTATGCAAGTAAATCACATTGACTTCAACATAATATATCATTCGAGCACATTAAGCACCATTATTTGTTTGAAGTTCATGTCAGTGTTTCCTGAATCAAAGCAATTCAAAACAATGGACACAATCCATGCTGCTTTGCCCAGTATATTCTCTGAAACCCCAAAGAGTCTGCAATGAATTTTGTCAATTGTTGAAAGGAGTTTAACATTTGTTTTTCATTAACAGCCAGGTTACCTGTACATCCAACCTTACCATATTAACATTTGAAAACACCCACTCCAGTTTAGCCTGGTTGATCTACAGGTAACAGAAACCCATTATGTCTATCTCCAGAGGGTTCCATGCATGGATGTCTCTCTCTGTATGCAAATAACATTTACAAATCAAACTGTGCTGTCAATCTGTCATGATGCCACCAACATCTGTGTACTGACATCATTACCACCTGTGCAATGACACACCTACAATTACTACTCTCCCACTAACACCTACAGGGTTTTACCTCAACTCACACAGAGTTTTAAGGGTCTCCGACATATCACATCCACCTTTAGTTTCTTGTAAAAGCTGTATGTTGATAATGAACCAATTTGAAACATTGCTACTGGTACAGAAGTATGACAGTCAAATATCAGGGTAATGTTTTGACATTTTGGGATCAGTAGTAGACAGTGTTTGCAATACTTTAATTTGCCAGTTGGCCATCAGGGCCTGCTGCCGCCTGCAGGATTTAAAATCTGCAGGCCCTGAACCAAATCTGCAGGCCCTGAATGAAATCTGCAGGCCCTGAATGAAATCTGCAGGCCCTGAATAAAATCTGCAGGCCCTGAATGAAATCTGCAGGCCCTGAATGAAATCTGCAGGCCCTGAATGAAATCTGCAGGCCCTGAATGAAATCTACAGGCCCTGAATAAAATCTGCAGGCCCTGAATGAAATCTGCAGGCCCATTTTGCTAAAGTCAAACCCATAAAATCAAAATAGACTACACTGTACACAGTTTCACACTGTTTCAACAAAACCAATTAGCGAAGCCTATGGCGCAGAACGACGTTTTATTTGTTAAAGACTGGTGTTGACATTCCTATGTGCAAAGAGCTGAAACACCAGGATGTGAAACTGTAAGTTATCGTAACATGATGGATCATGGATGATTCCCCAACGATAATAGAGAAAAACAAAACAAGGAAAGATTCCAGTTGAAAAACAGACCGATAATTTACTGAAGGCCACAATGACCTGCAGATGTTTGAAACTGCCGGCCCGATACAATAACAACCGACGCTGGGCCTCTGTGCCGGCGATTATTTCGAACGCTGGTAGTAGACCACCATGATTTGTCCAACTTTATTCAGTCTACGAGGCATACTGTGTACAAGTGATCCCAGTGGCGTATTGAGGGAGTCTGACTCACTCCTCTTGCAGTGCATAGCCAGGTTCAGCTGCAGAGAATCAGGGGATCTTGATGTAGATCACAACTGATCAAGTTGATCACAACGTATGATAAGCAGAATCAATAATATTGACAGAAATAATAGTCCACAGAGATTAATATCAACCCTTGAAATCAGGAACAACACCCAGAGCACAAAAGTGGCTCTTATGCACGTGCACGTTCAACTATAGGATGTGTTTTTGTGGTAGTGCTGACATGAACCTTTCATGGAAGAACTTACCAAAATCCTTTTCCTGTCTTTATAGGTCAGGAACTTCACCTCAGGATAAGTCTTCTTCCTGTAACAGGATACAGAAGTATTGGCATCACACATATTTACTCTTACACACGCACGCACGCACGCACGCACGCACGCACGCACGCACGCACGCATGCACAGACAGTCGTATTGACAAATCCCATGCAGAGAGTTACATATAAACAGATGCACATACAGGTATATAGTAACAGATCGAATATAGAAACTTTAATGTACACACGTGTGTGCACTCTGACCTGAAACTCCACGAAGGAGTATGAAGGTTGTGGCTGGGGGTTACAGGGTAGGAAGGATTGGCCACACACCGAGGAATTAGATCTGAGAGCAGGATATAGTTGCCAGCTAAAGCATGGGTACAGTGTCATATTTCATTTATGAAAAGAAAAGCTAAGGCCAAGCTGTTGCTCCTATAACAGAGACAATGTATCCACAATAACCAGTTTGTCACCATTTAAAGTAGATATTAATTTTAGTGAGTGAGTATGGTTTTACGCCGCTTTTAGCAATACTCCAGCAATATCTCACGGCGGGGTACACCAGAAATGGGCTTCACACATTGTACCCATGTGGGGAATCGAACCTGGGTCTTCGGCGTGATGAGCGAACACTTTAACCACTAGGCTACCTCACCGCCCCTACTTTAATTTTAACCACAGTAGGTGGTGAGATCAGGTGAGGTTTGTTTTGCTCATATACTGACATACATACATATGAGCGAGTGACTGCTTGTACTTGTCTTAGCAGATACCAGTTTCTTTTTGTACTGAGCTCACTGGAGACACGGTACACTGACTCCTGAGCCGACCAGTGCTTGTTTCATCTCAATCATGATATAGGTTAACATGTATACCCCACTGGAGACACGGTACACTGATTCCTGAGCCGACCAGTGCTTGTTTCATCTCAATCATGCAGGTTAACATGTATACCCCACTGGAGACACGGTACACTGACTCCTGAGCCGACCAGTGCTTGTTTCATCTCAATCATGCATATAGGTTAACATGTATACCCCACTGGAGACACGGTACACTGACTCTGAGCCATGTATACCCCACTGGAGACACGGTACACTGACTCCTGAGCCGACCAAGGCTTGATGCAAGTTAACAAATCTTTTTGGTATGACATGGTCAGGAATCAAACCAGTGACCTTTAGCTCTTCAGATCGGGGCTCTGTCCACTACACCACAGAGACATCAGAAAACCAACAGTCAGACATTACAGATATACACATCAATGTTAATATCTTCACCATGTTAATGTAACAGAGTTACACTTTTGCTTTCTTGGATTACACAACAGTGCTAAAAGAAGCAATAAGAAGAAATATTAATATTTGTAATTTTTCATTTTTGAGATGCAGAGGATGATTTAACCAGTACCAGCATAAACATCTTCCTACAACACCAACTAGCCCAAGCCAAAAAAAACCCAAACATGAAGAACTACACATATATATTTTCACTGCCACTGACAAAGCAATTGTATCACAAAAGTCCACAAATCATGAAATTATCACTGAGTGGCATTTGGTAAAGCTATATTATTTTGTTAGCAAATTAGAATTTCTTCTTCATTTCAAACATCATGCAATTATTTTAGTGACAATTATATGTGTAAAGTTTCCATAGCCTGTTGTCTGCAGATTTGAAACAATGTAAATGGGAGAAATAATCAGTAATAATGTCACAACATATCAGGTTACGTAGATAGTTTCTAAAAGGTTTCAAGGTTCTTAAAACGGTTGCTTTACACTGGAGGCAGTGATGATACCAGGAGGGTCACAGATGTGGAGAGGAGCTTGGGCGAGCTTTTAGCAATCATCTGTTTGGGGAAAATGCTACAATCCTGAAGACTACTTACCAGTGTTGAGGCCTTTAGAAACAAAACAGGAGGAACAACAAGTTAAAGTCATGTTAAAGAGTTTTACTAAAGAATCCTAAACTCGACTCAATACATTTGCAGACTGCCTGGTTTTCTGATTCCATCCAACACATATGAAATAGGATATGAAATATCATTCTATCTTAAAAGAAGAATTTTGGGGCACTTATTGAAAAAAATGTTGGATTTTGCAATCTAAATTTTCATTTCTCTCGTCATATTAAACTTGACATTGGACACTTATTGAAAAAATGTTGGATTTTGCAATCTAAATTTTCATTTCTCTCGTCATATTAAACTGAAGGTTATAAATGAAACACATTTCAGATGAGAAGTTTGTCAACTTTGTTGATATGAAAATAGCAATATTTTATGCAGGGGTTGAACAAAGCGTAATGGGATCAGACACAGGGTTTGTGAGTTTGAATGTCAATATCCTGCTAGTTTTGACATTCCATGTTAATAAACCTTATGGTGTCATTTGAACAAAAGACACGATGACACTGAAAATACCATTTTCTTTTCGACAAACATTTGTGAATATTATTTTACAGAAACAGTTTATGACTTACCATCATGCTGATATTTGCCCGTTGAAAACTCTGAATTTTAGCTCAGTTAAATACAGCATATCATAAATATCGTTACTGAAGTCAGGTTCACAAAAATTGAACTATTTATACAGGTTCCTAGTATGAAACATATTTCACACTACATCAAGTTATTCAGTTATATTTTCATAATCGCTTTGGCCTTAATCTCTGTACTTTTTAAAACACCAGGATATTTTTGGATAATGATGTGTACTATATATCTAGTATTTATATGCAAAATATTGGTTCAATAGGCCCCTATTTATTGCAGCTGAAACTGCTTGAAGATACCCACCCTCTTTAAAGTACCTTATGCTGAAATTAATCCATCAGGCAGGGCCAGGTGTGTGAAAACAATTCAGCAGGCTAAAGGTTAAAGAAATATATTATCCATTTGGGGTGAAACGGTATACCACGGTTTTAGCAGAACCGCGATATTTTGTCCCCGGTTTGGTAAACCGTAATCATCATGCAATCTAAACAAATCAGTATTTTCGGTTTTCATACCGTCATTTTATTAACCTTTCCTAAAATGTCTAGAAATTGAATCATTTTGTCAAAATCTATGCATTTTTTTGCTTGACTGCCGCTCTTTTCCGAGAAGTAAGTTTTCGTATACTGAACTGAACCGGACTGAACTGAGGTGAGGTGAGGTGAATTTGGGTTTAACGTCGTGCTTGAGAATATTTCGCTCATATGACGATGTGCATGCGTGTGTATGTGTATGTGCGGCTGCTTGTACTAGCCCAGACTTAAGCTGGTTTTATAGTGCTAGCCCACTGAGATACCATGCTCGCAGTGAAGCATGAATACCCCACTCAGACACATTATACTGACTCCGAGCCGACCAGTCCTTGTTGTACCCATTAATGCTGAGAGCCAGACAGGGACCAACAAGTACCATATTTTAACGTCTTTTGGTATGACGCGATCGGGGATCGAACCCGCGACCTTCCGCTCTCCGGGCGGACGCTCTAACCACTACACCACGGAGGCGGTCCGGACTGAACTGAAAGCCTTGTACAGCAATATGTACCAGACCATGATAAAAGCGTACTGTTTCACCCCTATTATCCATAACCTGCAGTAGTCCCTGTTAAATGCCATATGAAAACAACTATAGCTGTGCCAGATTCATGCAACATTTATTCAGCTAATTCCTTTTCATGTGTGGTGCAGGAGCTCTATTGTACAGTTGGGCAATCCTCTCCTGTTCATTGCCTCGATGCTCTTGAGTGCATCATCAACAGGCAGTTAGCGGAACTCTTCCTTGTAGATCTAGGGCATTGGAGTTGACTCATGCCTGACTCTTTTTCTCAGGGTGCTCACGAGTCTAACTGTGTCTGGACTGTTGGCCCGTGATAGTGCTCTCCAGTAACTGTTCTGATGAAATTGTTGACAAGTTGCTTCTACGTCTTCTACTTTCAGTAATCAGCCACATTACCAGACTTGTTCAGTTTATATAGAGGATAATATATAAGTGCCCATGTCATACTATGTCTTTTTGTTTGTTTTTCCACATTTTTTTATTCACATCAGTAGGTACAGTCATTTTATACAAAAATCATACACATTGACAGGTGACAGTTCTAGTTACAATCGTTTTATACAAAAATCATACAATCAAGGTTGTATAATTTCGGATCGTCTAAGCTTGAGCAATGAGGTAAGTCGGTGCTATGGGTAATATTACTTGTTTGCTCCTGGGTTCATTTGGTTTGTTTTCATAATAGCACCATATCATTCTGGGTAACTAAGAGGTAGAAACATTCATACATTATTATACAGATGTCATGCCTAATACAAGCTTGTACATGTTGACAGTTCACAACACATCAGTCTTCAAACATGAGTAGATACATTCAAGTATTACTGCACAAAGATCATAGATTGTATACACTGAAGAGTCATAACACATCAGACCATGTTGTGTAATGGGAGCCCGTTTACTCCACATTCGTCTGGCTGGTTTTTCATTCTGGCAACATATCTTTCAAAGAAGCGATGGAGGATTTTAAGGAAAAAATTAAATTTATAATACAGCTTATGGATATAAATATGTATATCTTTTCCCATCCTTGAATCGACACATATTGTAATTCACTATCTCAAAATTCTACTTTAAGCATGTTGAAGAGTCATGACGCATCAGTCCATATTGTGAGTAGTGGTAGCCATTTGCTCATACATTCATTTATTTGGTTTTTTATTCTAGCAAGATATCTCTCAACTTGAAAAATATCTTTCAAGGTAGCAATAAAAGATTTGAAAGATAGAGATTCATTTCTAATACAACCTATCTGCTAAAGATCTCCCTGGAATGAATCCTGTTTGATTTTCGTGTATCAAAAGATCCAAAACAGTTTTCATTCTCTTAGTGATACATGTGCTGATAATCTTGTACAGACAATTTAAAAGGGTGATTGGTCGCCAGTTTTTAAGATAGGACCTATCCTTGTTTCCTTTAGGCAGGCATGTTATAATTCCTCTGTTAATGTTCAAACTCAAACAGCCGTTATCTGTGAACCCAAACCTTTAGTTCTTTCCAAAAAAACTTTAAAAATTCTATTGGAAAGCCGTCTACCCTGAGGCTTTTGTTATTTTTCATTCCTTTTACTGCTTTTGAAATCTCATCCAATGTAATTTCTTTTTCCAAATTGTTTCTTTGTTGTTTATGTCATACTATGTTTACGACACTCGTGCCTAAATGTTGGTATTTCTGGAGCGAGAGCGAGGGATATACCAATATTTAGGCACAAGTGTCGTAAACATAGTATGATATGGGCACAAATATAATATTCTGTTTATTTATGAAGTTGTCAAATTGAGGAAAATAAACCCAGATCTACTTTCAAACACAGGCTGGCTATCCGCCATCGCCGTATGTTGAACGCAACGTCACAGAAGAAACGTAACATCATAGCACTGCTCATGACGTCACTTCGCCATGACAAAGTGATATTTTGCCCTAGGGCATCGTTAGAAAAATATGAACTCCGATATTTTCGCCTCCGTAGGTAATAAGCCGAAATCCTGCATGCAGCACTTGTTGTGGTCCTCTCTGAGATGCAACAAGCTCTGCTTGCTGAACACCAGCCATAGAAAACACAAAATCTCTATGACTGGGTCTTGTATACTTGTTGGTAAACGTGACAATTAAAACATTTTAAGTTTGTATCCCTATAACTGAAAAGCTGAGTAGGGGAATCAAAGTATGATGATTATCGGTACCTTTAATCAGAGTACAGGGATTATCGTAGCTTGCTTTCTATAGTCTGTTTCGCAGCGAAAATGTACCGATGAATTTCAATTTAAACAAAAAAGTAAATCGAATAAAGTGAAATTAAGATTGCGAATCCTCATAATTTTACCTTGCCATTTGAACATTTAAATCTCATAATTTAATTCAACTTAGGATAAAGTCATAGATTCAAATCGCTATTATTGGTATGTATTACAAGGGGTAAGCGCATTAGTTAGAACAGTGAAACAAATGCACGTGCGGTATGTGATGAGCGTTGACTTAGCCAACCCTACTTGTTCTTGGTGTTTCATTTAGTGTGGAGGGACTATGTCCTATTTTCAAAACAAACAACCTCTTTTTTTTTTTCCTCGATCACTGGATGTCAATCTCAACGGCACGTCGTATTATCAATCTCAACTCCCTGGGGACAATACAACTCTTGCAGCCACTAGGCGCACCGAGTTTGCGTGGCTTTCCAATCCTTACAAGGTACCCATTCACAGCTGGGTGGACTGGGACAGATAGTCACAGTACTTTGTCCAAGTTTACTGCACGTTGCTGTACGTCCGCAACTAGGTGCACTTATTCATGTGGCCACCATATAAGTGCACAGGGTTGTGTACTGTACACTAGGGGTTGTGACAACACCGAAAGAGTCTGCACACAAAGCTGACTCCAAGGTTTTTACACCCAGTCACAGGTGGGCTCGATCCCATCACCTCAAGCTCTCTGGATCACTAGCCCGACTCTTTAGACAGTTCACCCACAACGTCACAAATATCGACATAATTAATCATAAAATGAAAACATCTAGGAACTCTAACCCGCATATTCACTGCTTGAATATTCAAACGCAATCACTGTCACTACTGTGTTCCACTTGTGTGATAGGGGTCATGGGACATTGTTTATGTAGGACAAATCTCCAGCTTCATTACCTCACAAGGTGCAACAATATCCACAGACATGCCTGAAGCAGGCCTACCAAAGAAAATTTTCCCACTGTGCAGAAAAACACAGAAAAGCCCACATTACTTGTGGAAATAGCAACATAAACATAATACCTCGCTACTGAAACAGTAAAAATGGCAACAAAAAGACTATGAAACTGCAACCATTTTATATCAGCGAACTTTGACATGCGCATGCATGTT